CGTCAGTGTACGTCACGCACAAACCCGGCTATCTCCGAAGTATCTATGGTGTATAGATAGCCACTGACGTCACACTGACGTACACTGACGTCACGCGGATACTTTGTTTCATGGAAACATATGCCTACCGCGAGGCAAGCCGGCCTCCGTCACCAGGAACAACGAATCGATAACACACGGATGAATTTTTTGTCCGCGGTCTGTCAACCAGGGAAACCAAACGAAGAACAGAGGGTATTTCACGCCTCACGTCCGGTAAAAAAAAAATAACAAATTGATAACGCTGAAATTTCACGCCTGGCTTGTGACCAGGAAAACTAAACAATAAAGGGAGAAATAATTTCACGCCACATGGACAGGAAGAACTAATCGATAGCGCTGGGATTTTGACCGTGTCTGTGGGGTTCAGATCGGGCTATGAAACACTGACAGATTTTTTTTCTCTCACAGTGTACTTTTTATCACAGACACTGCGTTGGTTCTGCTCACATGTGGAGGTTGGGATTCACGAGACTATGCTGCGCGGCCGGTGCGTCTCGTCTTCGCCGGCGCCGGTGTTCTCTCTCTCTCTCTCTCTCTCTCTCCCTCCCTCTCTCTCACTCTCTGTCTTCTCTCTCTCTCCCTTCTGTCTCCTTCTCTGTCACTCCTCTCATCCCTCTCTCCTTCTCCTCTCTCCCTCTCTCACTCTCTCTCTCCCTCTCTCTCTCTCTCCCTTTCTTTCTCTCTCTCTCCCTCTCTCTTCTCCTTCTCCCCATCTCTCTCTCACCCTGCTCTTTCTCCTCTCAACCCTGTCCTGAATCGTTCTCACCGTTCGAATCTGATCTCTAATTTTCGTCGAGCACACATCGACGTCAGTAACCTTTTATGGATTAGAGGCACCGGTAAACGCCAAGGTTTCAATTTTATAAACGTTCTGCTACTCTTTACCGCACCCCCTCTTCTCGCGCTCTCTCCCACCTCTCCCTTCTCCTTCTCCTCTCCTCCTCTCTCCCACCCTCCCTCCTCCTCTCTCCCACCCTCCCTCTCTCCTCCTCTCTCCCATCTCTCTTCCTCCTTCCCCTTTTTCTTTCCCCTCTCCCCCTCTCTCTCCTCCTCTCCCTCTCTCTATCTCCCTTTTCCTCCTATCTCTCTCTCTCTCCCCTTCTCTCCCCCCTTCTCTCCCCTCTCCCGTTCTCTCTTCTCCTCTCCCCCTCGTTCTTCTCTCACCCTCCCCTCTCTACTCTCACCCTCCCCTCCCGAGTTTCGCCTCTGTTTCCTCTGCTTCCTATTTCCGCCCTAGACACATCGAGCCAACCAACCGTCCATGGCGGCACCGGTAAACGAGTTTTCAATTCTATAGCGGCTCGTCTGCGGAACTTGCCCATGTGTCCCATTTTGATTTCGTCTACACAAGTTTCTTTGATACTCGAGTGTACTGAGCTCGGTTTTTTTAACGAGAGTTTTCCTTTTTACGAGTTTTATTTGTATGTATAGTTACGATTATGTAATTTTTCATGTTGGTACATGTAGTCCTTTATTTGTGTATGGGTAATATGGGTATTTTTTACTTGGTTACATTTGTCTATGATTACATTCTTATATTATATTTGTCCATGGCGACAATTTTCTATGGTGACATTTGTTAATTGTGACATTTTTCCATGGTGACATTTTTTTATTGTGACATTTTTCCATGGGGACATTTTTTTCATGGTGAAATTTTTCCTTGGTGACATTTGTCAATGGTTATATTTGTCAATGGGGATAATTTTTCATAATGAGATTTGTCCATTTCTTGTCAATTTTCCCATCGTAATATTAACCCATGCTGACATTTACCCAACGGTTGCGCCCGTACATGGCTACTATTTTACATGACGAGTTGTACCTTTTTTTACCCGCAAAACATTCTCACCTGCTCACAGTATTTATCTAAGCGTTGCAGTACGTACGCGTGCGGGGTTTTCCACGTCCGTGGGTCCACACCACTCCAGCGATAATGCAACATTTTTTAGCCATAGTGACATTTAGCCACGGTCATACGCTTGTACATGGCTACTATTCTACATTTTTCTCTTACTGCTATATTTTTACCGCAACAAATTGTCACCTTTCCACAGAATTCTCTGAGCGTTGCACTACGTGTGCGGTTGTTTTTACGCTTGTGGATCCACAACTCTAACGATAACGCGCAAACTCAGTCGCATGGCTCTGGGTTTAGTAGTAGTAGTAGCATAATTATTTTATTTATCAAAACATGGTAGCTACAAAACAACAACAATGCTGGTTTCTATGTAGGCCCTGTTATCATACATGATGCATTACTTTTACACACACACATAATAAAAATGTAAAAAATAAATATACTAAAGTATACCAAGAAAAAATACTATAGCATCCTGAGTTTATTTCCCGCAATAAAGTAGACAGTCGTATCTCTCTGTCGCAGCCTCTCACGCTGTGTACGCACGCGCGCGTGTGCGAAGATGAAGTCGCAGAAGATGCGAGAAACCCACGATTTCCATAAGTGCCTACCTAATATAATATAAGTGCTATAGCAAAACGCGCTCCGACGATCACATACTGTGTACGCATGTATATACGCGCGTGAAGGTCGATAGAAGCAGGAGAGAAAAAAATATTGTCGAAAAGCCATTTCGGAGGCGAGCGTGTGCGAACGAGGGGGTTGGGTAGGAGATTGAGATTGTATCGGGGATTGGCATGCAGGGTTGATGCTAGCGGCTGTCTGCAGCGTGCGATGGATGGACAGAGAAGATGATATTTAGGGTGGAATTGCGCGTGAGAGGAGAGCGGGATTGTGATCGCTAATAGAGAAATCGAGAGCGAGAGAGAAAGACGCTGTGCGTGTGTGTGTGTGCGTGCGTGCGTGTGTGCGTGCGTGAGTGGAAATGTCTTCTCCGAGCATTACTCATACGAGCCAGCGCCACGACAGCCTACCATATAACTTTAAATAACAACTTCATAGTCTTTAACCACAGTTCAAAATGTTTAACCATAATTTTTTTTAATGGCTTTAACCACAGTTAAAGTTTTTTAATCCTAATTTTTTTTTTAATGGGCTTTAACTACAGTTAAAAGTTTTTTAGCTATAGTTTTTTGAGTGGGCTTTAACCACGCTCTTTAACCACAGTTCAAAATGTTTAACCATAATTTTTTTTAATGGGCTTTAACCACAGTGTAACAATGTTTTTGTCAATCCTTAATTTTTTTTTAATGGGCTTTAACCACAGTTAAAAGTTTTTTAGCTATAGTTTTTTGAGTGGGCTTTAACCACAGTTTAACGTTTTTTAACCGTAGTTTTTTTTAATAAGCTTTAAACGACAGTGTTAACCGACGGCAAAATTAGTCGGCGACAACATTAGTAGCAGACGTCGTCACTTCCTCATACGTCGGCAGTTTCTGCGGGCGACACGTCGACGCGCAATTGCTACTGATTGCCGACGGTCGGCTGCGAATGCATATGAGACACAAGCGGTCGTCAACTACGTCGCAGAGTTACACTGAGATCTGATCACTAGCCGTGCCTAGGGCTGCTGCCTGCTGCGTGCTGCGCTGGGATGCGCTGCTTGTACTGTTGAGCTGATGATGATGATGAATGATGATTGATGAATCGGTAGGCTGTGTCGGTGGCGGCGGCGGCGGGGCGGGCAGCGATGCCTCCCTGCGCCTGCCTGCTCTGCTGCTGCTGTTAGTGATAGATGGCCGAACTTGGATCGCTGCCTAGTTGTATCCTGTAGTGATTGATTAGGCGATTGTTGATGCTGCTTTGTTACTGCTGCTGTTGTTGTCGCTGCTGCGGCTACTCGCTGATCAGTGATGATGCGATTGTGAATGCTGCTGTTTGCTACTGCGTTTTGATCGCCNTCTTCTCTCCTCTCTTCCCATATCGCTTTCCTATCTCCCCACGAAGCACACTCTTCTCTCCTCTCTCTCCTCTCCCTCCCCTCCCTCCTCTTCCTCCTCTCCTTTCCTCATCTCCCCTTCTCTCTCCTTTTTTGTCCACCATCCTCTCAACACGTCTATCCGCACACCGCATCGCCACTTTTCGATTTCTTTTTCCTTGTCTCTTTATTTACTCTGCCTCTCTCCAAGCGTTTCTCCCATTGCCTTCCTCTCTCTCATATTCTCTCCCATATGCTTTGACTGTCTGCACACACGCGCATGCTTTCGCCCATAGAATTTATCGAGTATATCTTTTTTGCCACGAAGACCTGGTATTTGAACATTAAATCGAAAGGCAGCCACTTTCTGTATTTCTTTCTCCTCACCTTATTTCTCTCTTTCTCTCTTTGTGTGAGTATATATATATATATATATATCGCTCGTATTTTTTGCTTGTCTGTCGGTCTCTCTCTCTCTCTCTCTCGCATGTGCTTTCTCTAGCGTGTT